ATCTCCCCAAAACCCCAAAACCCCAAAACCCCTCAAAACGCGATTTAGATTGAATTATCATCTTCACTATCATCGACATAATCAGGGATCTCATTCATGCCTCCTTGCATTTCTTTTCTAAGCTGTTCTCTCTCTTCTTCATCTGAGATTTCATCCAGCTCTTCTAGTACATCATCTGATAACTCCTCTTCTTCCTCCTTCGCTGGAGCCTTTGATTTTATTGGCTTATCAGCAAACTTGGAATTATACTTCTTACACTTTTTGGAGAAGTCTTTGATAACCTTCATAAACTTCTTGTTAGTATTTTTCTTTATATCAGTAGAAATAGTTTCACGTTTCATATGCTTTTTGGGATTCTTCTCAAGTTCCTTCCACTTCTTTCTTCCTGGGTTTTTGAGTTCCAGCATCCACGGCTTTACATCTCATCCTGATTTCTTCATTAGGTTCGCGATACTTCTTAGATACTCGATATCACTGTCAGTATAGAGTGTAAGAGCGGTTCCTTGGTTTCCTGCTCTTCCAGTTCTTCCAACCCTGTGAATGTAAGATACAATACTCTGAGGGAAATCGTAGTTGACTACATAATTGACATTTAAGAAGTCGATTCCTCTTGACATTAAATCTGTGCAGATGAGGAGAGAGATTTTTCCAGTTCTAAACTTCATCACAACTTCATCTCTCTGCTCCTTGATTCTGTCTCCGTGAATGATGTTGCAACTGATACCTTCCACTATTAGTTCTTTATATAGTTCCATGCTTCTTTGCTTATTTTGAACGAAAATGAGCATAGGAGGAGTGAATCCTTCTCTGAAGATATTCCTGAGAGCGTACATCTTGCCTTCTTCAGAACCACAGTAAACTAGCTTTTGTTCAACACTCCCAGCTGTAGCGTTTTTGAGACCACAAATAATCTTGACTGGATCAGACATGTTCTCTCTAAGCATTTCTTCAATTACAGGTTGCATGGTAGCACTGAAGTAAGACTTCTGCAATGATGGATTAGTGCAGTGTTTTATGATTTTGTCGACTTGAGGAAGGAATGCCATATCAAACATCGCATCAGCCTCATCTACAACAATATGCCTAACTGTTTCAAACTTGAGATCAAGTTCTTTGAGGACACTCTCTAATCTTAGAGGAGTACTTAATAAAATCTTTCAGTTATTAACGAAATGGTCAACCTCAGTCTGATCTTTAGGGATTAGCTTCCTTCTCAAAAATTTGACCTTTAACTTCTTTGGATGAGGATTAAATACCATAAACTGTTTGTACAATTGAATCAGGAGCTCTCTTGTAGGAGCGAGGACTATGGCCTGAACTCCTTCGACATCTGGGTTAACTTTTCATAACAAAGGAAGAATGAAAGATAAGCTTTTTCCACTTCCAGTTTCAGCTAGAGCAATAAGATCTCTTTTCTTAGCTATTATGGGAATCGCTTGCATCTGAATCGGAGTAGGTCTTTTAAACTTGATTTGGTCTTGAATCCTTCTCATAATGCTCACATCAAGTTTCAATAAATTTTGAATTTTCTCAAAACTATCAAGGGGAGGAGGAACTCTATCTCCCTCTACCTTAATTTTGAACTTCTTTCTCATTAAAGCAACAACCTCTGTCTTTTTATTTATCAGAGCTTTATATCTATCTTCGTAATCTTTCACTTCTTCTGCTGTCTCTTCTCCTGTAATAGATTCCTTGAGTTGAGCAATCTGTTTCTTAATCTTCTCTACTTCCTCATCTGTAACATAATCATCTTTTGGTCTCTTTTCACCTACAAATTTATACAAAGTTTACCTTTTTCTTCTGTGTTTTCATTTTTCCTCTTCTTCCCACTAAGAATATATTTTAATTCACTAGGCTTCTTAGAACTTTTATCCGATCTATAATAGACATTATAAACTCTATTTCTCTCACAACTCTAAGAAATCCAACTTAACAAACCTCACACCAACACAAAAACCTAAAACACTACTATCCAAAGCCTTGGCCTCCAACTACTCCATCATACTGACATAGCCCAGTAGGATTCCCTGATCGTTCGCCGTTGCTCTTACCACTTAATCTTATTGTTCTTGTCGAACTTAATTCCTCTGGTGAGTTCTCTGAAAATATCCATTTGTAATTTATTATTGTGTTTTCAATTGTTTTGTAGGTTTGGGGTTTTGGGGTTTTGGGGTTTTGGGGTTTTGGGG